ATCCATCGATCCTTCATGATTTGCTGAGAAACAGACAAACAACATGAACAACTGGGAGCGCTGATACAGAAACGGAGATACCTCATTGGCTGCTGCTGTGTGCCGCCGCTATGCGTCTGCACGGCCGCCATATTGGAGGTCGAGACCGGTTAGTTGACATACTGAGAGATTCAGACTGTAATCGACTGTAACTCGCTTCATTGTGAACACACTGTCGTAGAGATTGGTTTGTTAGTGACTGGAGGTGGTTCCCCCTCCTTCCTTCTCTTTTTTTTTATTGAATTTTATCATTTTGTGAAGCATGTTGTAACACTGTGAAGAAAAGATTGATATAAATAAAGTTATTATCATCATTATTATTATTAATATCACTTTACCTGCAGACTGCCTCGTTTTCCCGGGTTGAGCACCAGCAGTTTCTTCAGCAGGTTCTCACAGTCAGTCGACATGTAGAAAGGAATCCGGTACTTTCCTCTGAGAACACGCTCCCTCAGCTCCTACACACACACACACACACACACACACACAGAAACACACTTTAGCATGTGCAGCATCAGTAAGGTCCCGGCACATTCTTTCATAAAAACCTTTTAATTCTGGCACAGTATTCCTATACTAGTACAGGCATCCTGCAGTTATTGTGTTCCCTGTTTGGGTCCATTTCTCAGTTTATCAGCTGTCTAAGCTTCTCAAATGTGAAAACTGGTCTTAAGATTGACGTAAAGGGAATATTTGGGGGTTTAAATTGGACTTTGTTCTAGGAAATAGTGATGAAGTTGTTTTTAACTATTTTCTTTGATTATTTGAGCAGATTAACCGATAATGTACCGATAACAGACAGAAAGACTCTCTGGACGTTGACTTTGGGTCCAAACACTTCCAACCACTCGTGACGGTAGATGTAGTTTTACATTACTGACAGGTGTTTCTGTTATTTCGTCCACGCTCTGACGTACCTTCAGGTTCTGTCCATCGAAGGGCAGCGAGCCGCTGACCAGCGTGTACAGGATCACTCCCAGACTCCAGACGTCCACCTCCGGCCCGTCGTACTTCTTCCCCTGCAGGGTTACAGAACTACATTACCCAGCAGCCCACTGCTTCATAACATACTGACCCACAAAGTTTACAGAGCGAATAAAGTTTTATCACTTCATTCATTCACAATTACAGAGAATTTAAACTCTTCCCGTCACTGTTTATTTATTACAAACATTTAACAGGAAGAAGAACAGAAAACAAGACAAAATAATATTCAAATGAAATGAACAATAAACATATACACAAACTCAGTGAATAAATCCTCAAACAAATTAAATCTGACATGTTGGAAAAGGAGGAAGTACCGTAAACTTCTAATATTTGCTTCAATCACTGAGTTCTCGTTGCCTTTATGTGCTTTGATTCCTTGAGCACAGACTCTTGCTCAGCACAGATGGAAATACGCTCTAACTGGGCTGCTTCTCCTGAGGTTTGTTCAGCAGGTTTTACAACTAAAAGCTTACATTTCAGGCCGTACTTTTTTCTCTTCTCATTCTCTCTGACACTTGAACGTGATCGTCGTTTTACTGCAGCCAGCGTACAGACAGTGAGCAGTGGACTTCACGTGATAATGTTTAGACTTGGATTCATTTGAATGAAATCCTGTGATTCTTTGGATGATGGACCCTTACAGACTATAAAGGAGTATAAATGATGGAGGACTGGACACAGACTGTACGGTACGTATGACCTCTTCTGAGGTTGGGAGTCAGCACTTTGTTCCCCTCTCTCTCTGTAAATCTGAAGGAATTATACTCTGGTGTTTTATAGGGTACACACTTATTTACCTGCATCTAAACAGGAAGGAAGCGGTTAAGTAGTAAAGCCCGCCTACTGCTTGCTTTGATTGGCTGTCGGGCCATTGATGAAGTGTGACATTGATGAATGCCATGACTCCGAGCTTTGGTTGAGAATATCTGCACTTTTATGCATGTTTAACAGCTCTAGGCGAGCAGTACCACAGGAAAACAATTGTTCCAGTCACTGCTGTCTCCCACTAATCATCCGTGTGTCATAATTATCCAAACAATTCTTGGCGACGGACAGACTGACCTGGAAGAGTTCGGGAGCAGCGTACGGAGGAGATCCACAGAACGTGTCCAGCTTACTGCCCAGCGTGAACTCATTGCTGAAGCCAAAGTCGGCTATTTTAATGTTCATGTCGGCGTCCAGCAGCAGGTTCTCCGCCTGAGACACAGACAGACACTTCACTGGTTTTACTGTTATCATGTATCATGTTCACATGTTTGTGGACAGTAAGGTCAGACAGGGATACCGGTGTGTCTCTGTGTACCTTGAGGTCTCGGTGTACTATCCTCTTCTGGTGACAGTACTCCACTGCTGACACAATCTGACACAAACAGCATACCGGAAATCAGTAGAAAGCAAACAGACACACAGAATATAGTTATAAAAGCTGTTCTCATCAGCCATCAGTGAGGCCTTCAGAAGGAACGTAAGTGAAAACACTGGAGTGGCTCAAACAAGCAGCAGCCCGCAGTTTGTTAGCCGCTGCGCTAATGGACTATAATGAAACTGATGTGTTTCATCAGCGGTTAGAGTGGGTTGGGGGGGAGTTGTGGTCTGACCCCTACATGGACAATGAGCATCCTGGGGCTGCTCGACAGACAGAATACTACGGGGCATTATGGGAAAACATCTGGAAAGCGTTTGCTGCTCGCAAACATTAAATACTAATATTTGCCTGCACTTTTAAGCTGACTAGAAGACAAGGATTATGGGATATTGAGGACCAGATAGTCTCGGAGATATGAAATCATTTCACCTGGCGAAACTTGGCTCTTGCCTCCTTCTCCTTCATTCGTCCGTGAGCAACCAGGTAGTCAAAGACTTCACCTGGAACACAGACAGACAGACATCACTACTCATGCAGTCAGAGGTGGAAGTGTTCCTGCTGACAGACAGGTGGACAGACAGGTGACCTGGTCTTACCTCCGCTGGCGTATTCCATTACCAGGTACAGAGTTTTCTCTGTCTCGATCACTTCAAACAGCTTTACTGAAAAACAGCAGGAGAAATATATTACCGCTGCCAAATACTGAGCTCCACTGCTGCCAAATACTGAGCTCTGAACTCTCTGACTGCCAAACATTGAACTCTATTACTGCCGAATACTGAGCTCTATATTTTATATCTTTTATTTCTATCATTCCTTTCATCGGATGGTGACATTATCTGTTGTCTCTTTGGTATTAATCCCTCTGATGAATCAGGTGAAAGAGGAGGATAAAGTGCAGACTCACCGATGTTCGGGTGGTTGAGGATCTTCATCACACTGACCTCCCTGAAGAGCTGAAGAGACACACACTTTCAGAGACTTCATCGTTCATCTCAACTCTTATTCTTTGTAGGAATCAGGCAGAGTTACTGGTCCACAGTTTATGATGTAATATTGTCATGAACACATTTTCACAGAGAGGAACTTTATGGATCATTATTTCGTCTGACGGTGTCCACTGTGAGTTGGTGAAGAGCACACATCACATGGAATCTGATCTGTGCCACATTCAATACTAAAATCCCAAAGAAAGTGATGTGGAGCATCAACAGATAGAGGTCAGAGATCAGAGGGGGCAGCGTACCTTCTGCAGACTGGTGGGGTTCAGCTGAGTTTTGTCAATGATCTTGATGGCGACCTGCCGGAAGAGACGATACAGAAACATCATAACTCCCAGGCTGATAACCACATTTAACTCTGGCCGGGTTGTGTTGGACCTCTATATGATGAGACTCATTAAAACCAGTAAAAACACTGAATAAACCATTTCCACCCTAATAATGGTTAGGTCCCAGGTTATGATACGATGCTAACGGACTGAGCCAAGCTGCTGCTAACGTTAGCTCAGCTTGTTTCTCTG